CGTGTCCCTGAATTTGAAGTAAGTTGTGTTGAGGCATATTTCTAACAGTTCACAAATGTGTTCCGGCAAAAGTTTAGTTCTTTCAGCGAGCGTTTTGTCATCTAAAAGTTTTTTTCTCACAGACTCTACAGCCCTGGCTGCGGGCACCGAGGTGAACAGGGCTGTGACGACAGTTATTTACATTAAGTATTTGATACACTGATGATTTTTGAAGTTTTCTGACTTACAAAGCAGGTAGGGGTCTGTAATTTCACTGAAAGGTACTCTTTAACCATGAGGGACAGAATCCAGAAAATCACAGTTGATGATTTTGAAATAATTTGCATGTTATTGCATGACATAAGTATTTTTTACATCAGATGAACAGCGCTCAATATTTGGTCCAGAAATCTTTGTTTGTAATTACAGAGATCAGACATTTTCTATCGGTCATCACTAGGTCCGCACACACTGCAGTCGGGATTTTGGCCCACTCCTCCGTACAGATCTTCTCTAGAGCATTCAGGTTTCGAGGCTGTCGTTGGGCAACATGGTTTTTCAGCTCTGTCCAAAGATTTTCAATTGGATTCAGGTCTGGAAACTAGCTAGACCACTCCAGGAACTTGAATTGCTTCCTATGGAGCGGTTGGGATGAAAATCAGCACCTCCAAAGCTGAAACAATTGTCTTCGGTGGAAAAGGGCGGAGTGCCCTCTCCAGGTTGGGCATGAGATCCTGCCCCAATGAGTGAGGGCAGGAGGGAGCGGGATATCGACAGGTGGATCGGTGCAGCGTCTGCTGTGATGCAGACTTTGTACCGGTCTGTTGTGGTATAGAAGGAGCTGAACTAAAAGGCAAAGCTCTCACTTTACTGGTCGATCTACGTTCCAACCCTCACCTATGGTCACAAGCTATGAGTGGAGCCGCTTCTCCTCCACGTCGAGAGGAGCCAGATGTGGTTCAGGCATCTGATTAAGCGCCTCCTGGATGCCTCCCTGATGAGGTGTTTCAGGCATGTCCCACCGGCAGGAGGCCCCGGGGATGACCCAGGACACGCTGGAGAGACGATGTCTCCCAGCTGGACTGGGAACGCCTTGGGATCCCCCAAGAAGAGATGCAACAAGTAGCTAGGGAGAGGGAAGTCTGGGCTTCGCGGCTAAAGTTGTTGCTCTCGCGACCCGACCCCGGATAAGCGGAAGAAAATGGATGGATGTGTGGATGGATGGTTCATCTCTGTTGTCAATCACTGTACTGTGTTGTAGTATATTTTGTGACCATAGCGATGGCAGCTTGGCTAAAACCAGGAATTGACCGTGTGCAGTGAGTACATTGCTGCATCACTGATGGCCAATCAGTGAACAGTGACGATAGAACTCTTTCGAACCTCGTCAGAGATGGTTCTGGAAAGGGGTTGTCACCACATAGCCAGAAAAAAGTCAAATGGAAAAGCGAAATTGGTGTGGAACCGGTACAATGGAAAAGTGTCTTTTGTGTGTACTCTGCAAGCTTTTTTCAGAGCGGGGAGAAGGGTCGCGCTGGTATTTGAATATTTACAGGGATTGGCCATCTCACGAGAGAGTCTGGCTGCAGCTCGTAGCCACTCCTTACCACGCCTGTTCAGACCTCAATTTTCCACCACCGTCAAAATCTAATTTACTCTTCATATAAATATCCATCCATCCATTTTCCGATCCGCTTATCCTCACAAGGGTCGAGGGGGGACCTGGAGCCTATCCCAGCCGTCTTCAGGCAGTAGGCAGGGGATACCCTGAACCGGTTGCCAGCCAATTGCAGGGCACACACAGACGAACAACCATCCACGTTCACACTCACACCTAGGGACAACTTAGAGTGATCAATCAGCCTGCCACGCATGTTTTTGGAATGTGGGAGGAAACCGGAGTACCCAGAGAAGACCACCTGGGGCTCAACACCTCCATGTGTAACTGGCTGTTGAACTTTTTGACGGGGAGGCCACAGGCAGTCCAGGTAGACAAAAATACCTCCAGCACCATCATGAACCTCTTCATTAAGTTTGCAGATGACACGACTGTGGTGGGTCTCATCAACAACAACGATGAGACAATCTACAGGAGTGAGGTGAGCAGGCTGGCCATGTGGTGCAAAGACAACAATCTCCACCTGAATGTGGAAAAAACGAAGGAGATTGTTGTCGACTTCAGAAGAATACACACCTAGCATGCTCCGCTGACCATCGACGGTGTCGCAGTGGAGATGGTGAGTAGCACCAAGTTCCTTGGTGTGCACATCTCTGAAGACCTGACCTGGAGCCTAAATACTACCTCACTGGCCAAAAAAGCCCACCAGCGCCTGTACTTCCTCCGCAAACTGAGGAGAGCAAGAGCCCCGCCCCCCATGTTGCAGACTTTCTATAGAGGCACCATTGAGAGCATCTTGACCAGCTGCATCACCGTGTGGCACGGCGCTTGCACTGTGTCCCGCAGAAAGAGTCTGCAGCGCGTTGTGAGAGCGGCTGAGAAGATCATTGATGTCTGCCTTCCTCCACTCGCGGACATTTACAACTCTCGTTTGACCCGCCAAGCCACCCAGATCGCAGGTGACCCCACCCACCCGTCTCAAAGACTCTTTGACCTGCTGCCGTCGGGGAGGAGACTGCGCTGTCTCTCTGCTAAAACCACCAGGCTCAAGAACAGTTTATTCCACCAGGCGGTCAAGAGACTAAACTCCCCATCTGACATCCGATTATTGGACTTAAAACAAGTCACTACCAATATGCAATAATCACAAGTGCCCTTGGTTGTCTGTTGTTGCTCTTTGTTTATCTTTATTCAACATATTTATATATTTATGTCTTACGAAATTTTAACGTAAATATTAGCTGTGTGTGTTCAATGCACTACATGTTTGCACTGTGGTTGAGAGAGGAAAGTAATTTCATCTGTGCTGTATGTTACACATAGAGCATATTTGACAATAAAAGCTGACCTGACCTGGCCACGCAGGCCCGGGGAGAACATGCAAATTCCTCACAGGGTGGCCGGAGTTGGAATTGAACCGGTACCTCTGTGCTGTGAGGTCGACGCGCTAACCACTGGACCACCGGGCCGCCCCTAATATAAATATATCGTAAAAAAAAAAAATCTAAACAATTTGCACAAACTTAAGTCACATCCAGTCGTTTTGTTCAAGGCACACATTGTATTATGATGATTAGCAGAATTACAGGTATATTTTAAGGCAGCGGTCCCGAACCTATTTTTGCTCCATGGACCGATTTAAAGTCAGACAATATTTTCAGGGACCAGCCTTTAAGGTGTGCCGGACAAAGACAATTTAATAATATGATATGACCTGCATGAAAACTGTGATTTTTCAAAATATAATAATTAACACGAATCATGACACAAAACGCTCTCTGGTCACTATGGTAATGTTTAAACGTGTCTTCAAAATAAGATACACCGCAAATAAAAAAGTGCATGAAAAATACGACTCACCATTGCCGCATATTAAGATAAGATAACCTTTATTTGTCCCACACTGGGGAAATTTGCAGAGAGGGCTTGGTCCATGGGAGTCTCCGCTTGAGATACATCTGTATTTTAAGTAGGACTCCTGATACAGTGATCCCTCGCTACTTCGCGGTTCATTTATCGCGGGTTCAGTGCATCGCGGATTTTTTCAAACATATGAATTTTTTTTTTTTTTTTTTTTTTTTTTTTTACATATACATGGAGTACAGTACTGTATATGTTGCTCTATGTGACTCGCTGTTGTCTTGCAGCTTCTCACAGACCGTTTGCGGACTTAAAAAAATATATACATCTTTTTTTTACCTGTTTATGTTAATTGGACGCTACTTCGGGGATTTTTGTTTATCGCGGGTGGTTTTGGTCCCCATTAACCGCGATAAACGAGGGATTACTGTCCTCTCGATTAAATGTAGCCTTCCTTTTCTTGAAAATCGTAGGCTGCTCTTCTGTCTCCTTAAGGGACTAATCAGGCCGCTGAGTCACCTTTGCGAAAACTGAAAGCCACTGAAGAACAATCATGCTAATATACTGTGTGTTGACTGCTACAAATACACGTGGCAAATGCAGAAGGGAGATGCCATGGCAGAACCAGCTATGTTGTGAGTATGCAGACGCTTAATGAGTGCTAAAATGCCACCATCACTGCACGTGTAATTAATGGTTACTTTCCTAAATAGTGTTGTGGTTGGGTTTTTGTTGTTGTTTTTTTTTTACATATTTCATTATTTTTTTTATATATATTTTTTGATATTTCATATGATTCTTATACTCTACTTGCTAAAAAATGTCATTGGATGGAATTCAAATTCCAGTCCTATACTGTATCTGTCACGCAGTAACACACTCTAGCTCACAGGTGTCAAACCAAAGGCCCGGGGGCCAGCTCTGGCCCACCAACACCATTTTATGTGCCCCCCCCCCCCCGTCCGACATAAAAGCATGTGTGTCAACTTGCTTGATCCTTGCTAAAAAAAAATTTACCTAAATGTTAAATTCTGGTGTAATAAATTACGTTGAGATTTTGCAATAATTTAGTTACACTGTTCCAGTCACTTGAACAATAATTGCGTTTACAGTCACTTGAAAAATAATTGAACAGACTATTATTGTTGACTGTTTCCAAAACTAGCAATCCATTAATTTATGTACAAGTAATAAATGTGATGAGACAATTAGACATTTTTATGGTTTCACTGTCAGACTGCCCTTCCGAGGGAAGACGTAACTCCAAAGTGGCCTACGACAAAAAGGAGTTTGACACTTCTGCTCATCAATAAATCTCAACAAGAAAACAAATAATACAAGTAGATTTCATCGCAACTTATTCAGTGCCAATTTCAGGGAGTGAGTCATTTAAAGGCAAAGTAATTGCACAACACATTCCTCCTAATTAGGTAGCTTGATCCCTGACCCCCCACTTGTCTGAACAGAATAAACAGTCAAGATGATGATGGTGGTTGATCGGTGAACAGATGTATGACGACGCGATTAATGATGTTCAACTCACAGCTCTCCAACTCCAGAGAACATGTCTGAGAATCCAGAGGAAATCGGCTGAAGTCCATGTTACAAGCCGCAGTCACTGTGACTCTAAGAGACATCAAGAGGACAATCATGTCATTGCACACATTCTTCAGTATTACTTGAACCTGTCAGAGATAATATTAATCATAATACAGGATTATTACTGAACCCTGGATCCAAAAGCAGACTAAAAAAAAAACAAAAAAAAACCAAACACGAATCAAAGATAATTTCAGAATTGGACATTTTACAAAATTTTGCCAATCCACCAGTCATCATCGGTCCATCTCTTTTCAAACTGAACCAACTTATTTCAGTCCGCCAGTCTGTTCAACACCACCCTCCCCCCCCCAAAAAAAAAAAAAACATCATAGTCCACCAGATGAAAAACAGATGAAAATTACAAAAGTAAATAGAGTGTACTATCAGTATGTGTACATCAAATGTTGGTTGCCCAAAGAACTACACACAAACATACACACACACACACACACACACACACACACACACACACACACACACACACACACACACACACACACACACACGCATACACGAAATTACATTTCACATACACTTATTCGATCATTTTTTGGACTGTAAACGCAGTGATGGGATGAGCGACACTGGTGTGTCAGCACAGTGCCGAGAGCTCAAGAGTGAAACCCCGCATCAGTGCATGTATTGCTTTAAGAAAGAATCACGTGACCAATACAGGAACTGAATCGTTTGAACATGCTGCGCCAAAGTGTGTTTATAAGGACACAAATTGTATCAGCATGTCGTGGGTTTGTTGGCTGGAGTTTTGCGAAATTATGGATCGTTCTAAGAAGTTTTCCGGAGTGTGGAACAATTTTGATCTTGGTAAATCTTTTTCTCCTTTGAGCATTGTTTACTGTTATATACATTTTTTTTAACGGTGGCGCATTGCACCCACTTTATCAGTTTATCAAGTGAATGACCTGTTATACATATGATAGTCAGTTAAAGCAGTGTTTTTCAACCCGTGTGCCGCGGCACACCAGTGTGCTGCGAGACATTGTCAGGTGTGCCGCGGGAAAATATCCAATTTGTATGCCTGTGTGGTCTTTCGCCTAGAAAGTAATCATGTAGTACCCTCCCATACCGCTAGGGAGCAGCAACAGCTAGGCAATTGCCTTGTGTTTCGACGAGACACAAGCGAATTTGTGACGCATGAATGCAGGATGAGGGTGAACAATAAATATGAAAGATGATAAAATACTGTTTTCTTTGTGTTCATTTGATTCCAATTCAAACTGTTATCACGTCATTCTTCAATGTTAAAAACGGTTATAGTAACAATATAACACGTTAATTGTTAAAATAAGCTGGGGGGGGGGTGTTCACATTTGCCGCAAATTTTTTTTCAATGAAAGAAGTGTGCCTTGGCTCAAAAAACTTTGAAAAACACTGAGTTAAAGAGCCTTACAGTCACTTTATTTATTTTATCTTATAATTGCGAGATCCTCCATAATTGAAGTCCAACGCTGCCGCAGAAGCAAACACACCCAGAAACCAAGACCCTTTACAATATTGGAAATGGAACCAGAAAACATATCCACATCTGCATCAACTTTCATTTAAAACTCTCTGCTCACTATCGTCATCTGAACCATGTGAAAGAGTATTTTCTGAGGCTGGAGAGCTAGTGTCGAAGAGGAGAAATCGCCTTGGAGCAGAGACACTCCAAAAACTTTTGTTCCTCAATAAAAATTCAGAAACTAATCACTTTTGTCTTTTATTTCACATGATTTAACCAAAATTTTCGATATAAGTTAAAAATCTGAATTGTAGCTCAAATTTGCTGTATTTTACATACCAACTCAGTTTAGCATTTACACAAACAAGGAATTTCTTTACCTGCAATGATTTTATAACTACTGCAGGGGTCACTATTGGGTGACCAACACAGTGTCAATACAGTGCTGACACAGTTTGTGAAGTGGGTCAATACACTCCTTGAGGTATTATCATCCCATCACTATGTAAAAGTAAACTCACCAGGAGCACACTGGTAACTGCCTGCAAAGTTTAGAATGGCTTACCTGAACCAGAATCCAGCATTGTGGTTAAGTGTAAAGTCCAATGTAAGTAGCTTGCACATTTACTCCTGTCTTTAAATCCTCGTCATCTGTTGCGTCTGCCACTGCTGCTTCTTCTTCTTCTTCTTCTCCTTTTTCTTCTTCTTCTTCTTCTTGCTTCATTGGCTGATTACAGTTCTTTGGTGCATACCACCACCCACTGGACAGGAAGCGCAAAGAATCATATTCAATGTAGCCCCGCAAACGAACACACAACAAAGTCCATCCATCCACCCATCCATCCACCCATCCATCCATTTTCAACATCACTTATCCTGAACAGGATGGTGGAGAGTTGACTTTGGGCGGAAGGCGGACTACACCCTGAAGTGGTCGCCAGTTGCAGCCCACATACTGAGACGAAGAACCATACACACCGACATTCACATTGTCACTGTGTGGGAACTGATCCCACGCTGCCTGTGCAGAACTCAGGCGAGTGTATCAGTACACTTTCAGCGGCTTCACAAGACAAAAATAGATATGACCAGAGAGAACAGAAAACCCCAACCACAAAGGTTCACACTGTTGAGTACGTCATTTTTTTTCCTGTCGTTTCCCATCATTTGTCAATCGTCAGGAAAACAGGCATCTATCAGTGAAGGACTGATGTACTTCTCATCAGTACTGACGGAATGCCCACCTTTGCAGAATTTGGTAAACCAAAAGTGCATGATAAACATGAGACACAAAGTTATCAAATCAAAACAATGAAAACAAAAGGTCAACGTGAACAAACAAGTTGCATACAAAAACATACTCAAAGAGGTAGAGGGAGCCACAGTGGAATAAATACGGCAACAACAGAAATACTGTATACATAGGATAGAAACACTCAAACACATAGATAACAGTAGTATTTAAAGTATTTACAGTCAAGAAACGGTATTCATAAACAGCCAAAGACTGGACGCGCAAAGTACAAGAGTCCATCAGGAATACAAGAAAATGAGAGACAATCGTGGAAATCAATTATTATCCCTAACCGGGTCAAGTACCGACAGACACACATTTCACAAATGACTGACAGAAAGACACCCAGCCTGTCTTGCGTGTGTCATCCGCCAATACACTACTTCAGACCGAATGTGATGCGCCGCTTGTTTCGTGCGTGTTCACCGTGTCTGTATGTGGGCGGTAGTGACTTTACTTTAAGCGGACAAGAAGAGGAGCATGCATGTTTTTGGAATGTGGGAGGAAACCGGAGTACCCAGAGAAAGCCCACACTGGCATGGGGAGAACATGCAAACTCCACACAGGAAGGCTGGAGCTGGGATTCTTCTGCCCTAGCCATGCGTTTGACAGGAGAGCTTGGCGTAGACAGCGACCTAAACAATCTTCCAATAAAAAAAACGAAGACGAGAATCCACTGTTTGGTATTTTTATGGAAGTCTTTCTTGTAAAACTTGACACAAACAAAAACACGAATGTTTGTGTAGCATCCCATTATACATATGAAATGACATTCGCCACTCATGTAACAGCCCTATTCTCTAGCTTATTTAACAATACCGTGGTAAGTATTTACAGAGATTCATTGATGAAATACTTATATATGACAATAAATAACTTGCACAACAAAGAGTAGTATGTACAACTGTGTAAATGTACTTAGAGATTGTGCCTGAACGTGTCAAAAGAAAGAGGATGGAAGTGGATGTGATCGCACCTCTCCACTGTTATGTGTCAAAATGTCTACCCCACTGACTTTTTGGGTGGTTCTAACTACTTCCACCACCAGAGGCACTGTACTGAACTGTAATACAATACTTCCATCACTAGGGGCACTGCACTACACTGTAATACAATTACTGGGGGCAGAATAGGGATCGAACCCACGACCTCTGCACTGTGAGGTCGACGCGCTAATCACTCGACCTTTCTGTGTAGTGTTTAATTTGATTTATTTTTTTATCCATTGATGATTTTGCTTTAAGGGTTCATAACTTGTAATCTCCAGTCACTATCATCACCTTATGCACCCTGTAACCTGATAACATGATAAGCTGTCCACTGTAGTAACCTGAAAGGGTTCAATTCTACTGTGACAGATGAACATAAAGCAAATCAATAAATGTGTTTGTTGATGACTTGATACACACCTGAGACTGTAAAGCACGTGACCATCTGGAAAGACACGCAACATGATGTTGTCTGTGGTTGTGTCATGGATGAAAGACCTCTTAGAGTGGACAAAGAATACATCAGGGACCCAGATCTTTTTCACCAGACGGCCATCAAATGTCATGCTCTTGTTGGTACTGCTGGTGAATGACAGACGCTCGTCTTTCCAGTAATGTCTCAGGTACAGTGTCATGGTAAAGTCCTGTTGGAAGATGATATGAAAGTGAACCAGAGAACATTAACAATGCAGAGTCAGTAACCATTCCAGCAAATATTGTTCGAAGTAAGGCAAGGCAGCTTTATTTAAATCGGGCATTCCAGACACAAAGTATCATCAGGGCCTTAATACTGCAACATCAGACCTATGATCACTGAAAAGAATTCAACAAAGAAGACGGAAATCACAATGTGCACAACAATCACTGACATTTAGAATTATTTGCTCCTTTTCAGGCGGCGGGCTGAGGCTGCATATCTACTTTCGTTTTTGGGACCAATGATCCCTGGGGAGGGAGAACCTGGATCTTTTCACTTTCGAAGTATCATATTGTGTTTGTTAGCACTCGTAATTCAAACATACATTTTTTTTCAAAATCATGTTTTAAGTTTCATTAAATGTGCATTCAAACGCAGTAGCCGCCTAGGTCAGTTGAACCAATAGCATGCAAAGCTACAAAACGCGTGATGTTATTCAGACACGCTCAGGCGAAGATATGCAACAGCTGTGTGTGAAAATAATGTTCCGTTGTTGGTGTTCACTTTACACGGCTAGCTATGCTATTTATTTGCTATGTAAAGTTTGACAATGTTTATTATGAGTAGAGTTAGCTTTGTCAGATTGTGTTGAGGCCTAAGAGCCCATATGTGAGGTGTGAATGATAAAAGATAGTTACCACAAATGGAATTTGAATGAGAATCAATTTAGATTGTAATTTCCAATTTTGCATACTAGAGTTGGCCAAACAAAATCTAAATAGTGACTTAGAATATAATTTACACAAGTGGTTCTTAACCTTGTTAGAGGTACCGAATCCAACCGGTTCATGTGCACATTCACCGAACCCTTCATTCGTGAAAAAAAAAAGTATGATTTTGTTACAAATTCAAGACATTAAAAAGAGAAAAAATTTAAACACAATTAGAATAATTATAAAGTAATTTTTTTTTAATTGTGCACAAAATGAACCAGCCAGTGATAGCCATGCAGGCGTGTCATAACGAATTGACATGTTGAATTGGGTGTGTCTTAACCTCCATGGCAGAGGCTCTGTCTGTGATGTTCCTGTTCCTGGCTTCGCCAGTAGCTGGCAGGCTGAGCAGACTTGCGGGTTGCACACCTGCTGCCAATCTTGTAATTAGGGACTCTTTATTGAAGGACCTACAAACTTGCCACTGGTTGTCAGAGGATTGTTTGCCTTGCTGCTGATCTTGCTCATGTGACCTTTTTTCTAGACTCCTCGCTCTAGCCATGTTGATTCTTGTTCTCGGGTTCCTTTGTTCGTGAGTATAGTTTTTGTTTTCATCTTTGTTCTGAGCTTACGTAAATTGGATTCTTTGCATTTTGTTTTGTTTGTCTCGGGTTAATTTTCTTCTTTGCCTTTTGTGCAAGTGCTTTTGGACGGTTATCGTTTTGTTTTTTCTTTTCCTGGTCCTCATTTGACCAGCGCTTTATGTTTCTACTTTGTCGGTGCGTTTTTGTAGTAAACATTTTTGCTATGGAATTTTTGTCTGGTGTCTACTATTTTGGGATCCAAAAACATTATTCGATTCGTTCGAATTGTGACACTGTCGAACCCCTGAGACCGATTCACCGAACCCCTAAGGTTCGATCGAACCCAGGTTAAGAACCACTGGTCTATAGAAACGCGGTGCATATGATATAATTTCTCATGCCAGAAAGGCATATGACCTGTGATATTTAAGAAACATGTAATATGATTTGATCTATGAATTCTGCACACATATGATTGTTGTGATGTTGATTGCACTATATTATTAGCATATAATTTGTTGTGATCTTGCTTGCGTTAGAATTGTTGTGATGTTTTGTAACTATGCATTATGATGGCTTGATCAATGAAATTGATGCTTTACTATTAGTTCGATGCATTAGAATATTTACTCACTAACTGCTTTTATTTATATATATATATATATATATATATATATATATATATAAATAAAAATATATAAATAAAAATTTGAAATGTTTTATATTCATGTTGTTCTCATGAATATGATACATGTGTTGGATTGCATAAGCTATTGCTACATGTGAGCAGCAGATGTAGTGATATGTATGTATTTGAAAATGATGTTACAGTGGAAGCTTTTAGATAATATAAACAGTTGTAACAGGAAATGCTGTCATGGCAGCGGGCAGATGGAGTGACACACACACACACACACACACACACACACACACACACACAGTACCTCCTGCATGCAGTACAAAGGCCCTGTTATTTTCCATTACGTAGCATACCAGAGGTTTGACAATCTGTAATGTAACAGCAATTTTCCCATTAGGTAATGTGTAAATGATTTCCCATTATGTAGTGTAACAATGGTTTTCCCATTACCTGATGTACCAGCTGTGACTGCCCGTTGCACAGGTAACAGTGATTTTTCATGACACAATGTACATTGACTGAAGGTCTTGTAATTTCCATTGCATCATTTGAATTTTCAAGAAGCCCAGAGGTGATAAAAGGCAGTGACTCGAGGGCTCGAGGCTTTCACCCTTTCGTGAGGAAATGCACTTACTGTGCAGATACTTGACACAAAGGAGGATTTTTTTTTTCTTTTTGATTTTTGTGCAAGCCACATACCTGAATGATTTAATTTGACTTAATTTGGACTTGATCAAATTATGGTGATAAGGTAAAATTAATAGTAACAATATTATTTGCATAAAAGAGAGAGCCCATCGAGTATCTTGGATCTTTGCATTTCAAATTTACCTTGATTATTAGGCTTCGTGTAATTGAAGATCTGATCACTCTTGATTTCAGCAAAACAAAATTATCAAAGCTTTCCACTCATTTAAAAATATTTGTCTTTTTACTGCTTTATTTGCTTGCTCTTTGTTCATTTATTAGAATATTTTTACTATTTTATTTGATTCCTTATTTTAATTGCTGTAATCATTTTCACATTTTGATGATTATCAACTCATTACGTTACATCTTGATTTTTGTATGAATTATTGCTTTGCTATTAAATATTAAAAATTACATATTAAATCTCTTTGTCATCATTATTTTATTCATGCCATCACCCTCTCTTAAATGAAAGAACGACCACACAGATATTGGTATTTGCCATTAAGGAATCAAAATACAGGCGCGGTGGTACGAACTTTGTTGTGATTTATCGAAAAACATTCAATGCATCCCTAATCCAGTATGGTCAGTGAAAAGGGAAAAGCTTCTCGTGAAAGTGGAATTTTGAAAAAACAGCAAGCCATCTCATTTGAAACGAAGGTGCCGATAATAAAGAAACTTGATGCTGGTGAGATGTGAATGTGGCACAGACATACAACATGAATCGTTTGACGATCAGTAGCATCTACAACCAAAAGGACCGCATTATGGAGCATTTCAAAAGTGCAGTGGGAATGCAGTCCACCATCATCAGGAAGAAGAGAGGGAAATTTCTGGGTATTTGCCTTGAAAAGCAGCGGTAGTGGTGTGTTCCATTGAGCCTCATGCTGATCCAGGAGAAGGCCAGACCCATCTTTAAAGACCTTAAGGCTAAGGCAGGGCAGAGTGCTGCTGAAGAAACATTTTTTCTGCTAGCCATAGGTGGTTTGCCGGTCTCAAGAAGAGGGCAAATCTTTATCACGTGACCGGAGAGGCAGCATTAGCAACAAAGCAGCTGCCGAACGCTTCCCCCGAGAGAGCAAGGAAATCATCAAAAAGGAGGGTTATTCCACAAAGCAAATTTTTAATGTAGAAAAAAATATTTTCTCGAAGAAAATACCAGAACCCCCCGCCCCACATTAGCCGTGAAGAGAAAACCAGGCCCAGATTTAAAGCGGCTTAAGATCGGTTAACCGTAATGCTTGGTGGAAATGCTGACCTTCAAGCTGAAGCCACTGTTCGTCTACCGGGCAGCTAACGCTCAAACCCTGAAGAGTGTGACGAAGAGCTCGCTTCCTGTTCAATGGATGTCAAACACGACTGCATGGGTGATGCTGGTCATATTTGAGGAATGGTTCTTACACTATTAAGAAGTATTACACCTGACAGACCTACAGGATGTCTTTAGTGGCAGTGGATACGGACCCCGAGATCACCTTGCACGACTACCGTAGGTCCTACAATATCCTAAACTGCATCAAAAACACTGATGCAGCATTGTGTAAGGTTTCAAACGCCAACCTCAATGCCGCATTGGGCCTCTATGCACTCAGTTCGTCAACGAATTCAAGGGCTTCGACTAAGGAGACTAAGATCATCCTTACCAGTCTTGTCAGGCTAAGTGAGAAACTCAACCTACACCTGGAGGAGGAGGACTTCGAAGAACTGCTGGATTCCCATGGAGAGGAGCTGATGAACGAAGAACTCATGGAGTTGGAGGCGCAACAATGTGTCGAGGCAGAGAGGGAAGATGACACACCAATCCCCATGAAGAAGTTTGAGATGAAATTGTTGGCAGAGGGGTTTTCTTTTATTGACGAAGCCCTTGCAATCTACAAGCAACAGGACCCAAATGTTGAGCGCTGTACGAAGGTTGCAAACCAAATTGATGATGCAATGCAGTGCTACCGCAAAAAGGAAAACTGTCCAATCGTTCTTGAATCAGTTCTTTCGGTCAATACCCTTAACCTCCAAGGAAGCTGCACCTCCGCCCTCTACTTCTTCCTTCATTGAAGGGCAGAAGGAGGAAGAAAAACAAGAATCTCCCCAACATGTTAGTGACGATGAAGACGACGACTGTTACTGCCAATATTTCCCGTTAAGCAGTTTCATCATCGGTGTCCTGATGCCATCTAGTGGCGATTGTTGGCCGGAACCATTTATCGCGAATAAAGGTCCACCCGACCTTAGTTGCTGTTGCACATTTACTGGCGCACGTTAAAAGAACATGTTTGTAAGCTCTGTGTAGCCATTTGGAAGAAGACGCGAGTGTCAAGAACCTACCGTCTGAGGCAAGTCGACGACGGGCAGGATTTCGGCTGAAGTTTAGCCCCTTATG